CTTGGCATGCATGATAAATGTGAATTTGCACAATTCGCAGGCGCGCGTGTCTGAAGCTTTTATCCATTGTTGAAGGCAAGCTTGATGCACGTAGCGTAGACTGCCACTGCAATAGCAAGGTGCTAATAAAGGAGCGCCTTCCTCACCCTCGCAATGGCAGATCCTATTTTTACAAAATGCGTTTTCTCACAATGAAATAAAGATTGTATATGTATATGTATATAGCTGTAAATAGCTATATACGCTGTACAATCGTATATAGTAACGATAAGTACACGATAGAACTATGATTTACCTGCAAATATCATGATTGGTCGAAGACAATGTGTTCACGGACGAGTGGCAATCATCTGGTATAATAGTAACTACTGTACCATAAGCAAAATTCTAAAATGAGTATATTTCTATGAATCATAATGGGAAGAGGTCAAGGTATTCTTTATCTTTCTGTACAATTTATGTCAACGCATAAGTATTTCCCAGATAATATGTTATCGAGCTACATTAATAATTATCAAGGTGATAAAATTATAATATTTAAGAATATAAAATATCTCATTTCAAACTTTGCGCTTTATGTCATTGTTTTCGCAATATTGCTTTTGTACTTTAATTGATTCAATATCTTTATTTTTGGAACATAATATATAACGTGACCTCTACTAACTTTTTGAATTGCAGATTTTTCAGTCTATATTTTGAATTTTCTTAATGAAAATAAAAAATGAGATAAATTATCATTTGTCAAAATAGTTTACTTGAAATTAACTGAATTGAAAAGTATGATTTTATTTTTTGTTGTATATTCAAAAAAATTTTTATTTTCAGTCATATAAAATAACTCAAAATTACAGTTAAGTAGACTTCACGTTTGTGCATAAAGGAAAACTCTACACAAAAACCCTGCAATTTGCAGAAACAAAGCACATAGTAAAAGATGTTTCATATTTTCCACAAAAATTTAAAAGAGCTAAATAAAATAATGCATATTAACTCTCTATAGAATGATCACCTGTGGTATCCATTCTGATAGAGCTTCTCCACCAGCAGGACTCGTATTATTGGAAGGACCAATTGACAATGGTGGTTGCCAATCAGGCGGATTAACATTAATCTGATGAACCGGCATTACTCTCCAACCTCGCCAAATATAATAATCACTGACAATAAAATTTGATTAAATGTATCTTAGATACATGGTTATTACGTTTTTTTGGTATGTGTTCGACACTAAAATTGCAGTATTATATATTTATTCGTATCTTTCAAGCATTATTCAGCCTTTAACATCAAAATGTGTATAGCCTGAAATCAGATATATAAGTGTTACATTTATAAACACATCTATAAATAACATACATAAAGTTATTTGGTACAAAAACATTACGCACACACACACATGCGCGCGCACACACATACACATACACACACACAACACACACACCGATATGTATATGCTACAAGCTACATTCAGGTGCAAATTCTTTACATAATTATATAACTATAATCTGTTTATAGGGGCAACTTTTATCCACACATACACACACATACGTACACATGCACGCACACATATATGCATATATATATATATATATACGTATATATATATATATACATATATATATATATATATGTTTATGTATACATTTTACCAGTATGTCTGCCAAATGTATTTAACTTATAAATGTCTACTTAACGAATGAATAATTAACTTCAGATTAAAACGATCCGTTTGGTAAATATTCGGACAATAGTTTAATGGATAAACTCGACCAATAATCAGTTTGTCAACAATATATCCAATGACATTTAGCGACATTTAAGTTTAAATAAGAAATAGAGATTTTTTTCTTCTCGAGGAAAATCGAGCGTTGTTAAATCAAGTCGCTCCACGAACGAGATCGGGGAAGCGACGAAGGTAACTGGCGTGCGTCGAGCTGCGTCACAGATCGTGAGGTCTCTTCGCGTTTTGTGCGAGATCGAGCCGCATAAAAACGCTCGTCGATATCGCCCCGCGCGAGGGATTTCAGCGGCGCACTGCAGGAGGAATAAGAAGAGAAGGAAAACAAAGCGCACACCGATACGTCACGTACATACACGCTCCTGCCCACCGTAGTCGTCCGTCGTGTTGTCCCTCGGTCGGAGTGAGTCGGAGTCTTCCGTCAGCCAAATGACGAGGATTCGCCGGGCCGGGCGGCGAAATTATTCACGGACCGTTTTAATTTAATATATTACGTCGCGAACGATGGGGGAGAGAAACGGGCGGAAAACGGGCATGGGCCAGATTTTGACACTTCGCCCTGAGTCAATGACACGACAAACGGGAGGATGTGTGTCGCTCGGTGTGTCTCTCCCTGCAATTCCGCGTGTGCGCCCGCGCCCGCGTGCACGCGCGCGCGCGCGTCGGAGTGTGGCAGCCAAGCCAAGCGGAGTCTAATCGCGTGCCTTGGCACGGCGGCTGGCGTCCACGTAACACCGTCGCGAGTGTGGAAACGCGCTGACACTCGCCGCAATAACTCGTGAGACGACAACACCATGCGCCGTCCTCATCGCAGCGCGCTACCCTTCCACCCCCGCACGGCAAACAGACAACAGTCAAAAGACAGCTGCGCGTGAACGCCGTGAACCCCGTCCGTCCGTCTGCTACGCCGCCATGACGTGACGTACCGCGGCCTTGGACGCGCCCAGCCAATGGCCGGCCGCGTGAGCGCTGTCGGGTAACGCCAATAATACCGCGCAATTTCAAATCCCGCTGCTAAGCTGCCATTCGCGGCCACTCAACACCGGCTGATATCTTTATCGCCGATAAATATACGAGAGTTCCTGCTATTATTCCCCATTATTCGCTGTCCAATCATGATAATGTCACGCTCCACGTGTCGTTTATCTCGAATTAAGGAATATCTATTTACGAAATTTTTATATCTTCGGTTTTTTGTACCGCGCGCGAGCATGGGCGGATCTGCTTAATTTGCGCGAAGATATAGGAAAGAATCGAAAACGTAATCAATAATACAAATAAGTCAAAGGATAATAATAATTCAAGAATAGTAACAATTCGAAGAATACGAATTCAAAAATTTGCAGATAATCTAGAGTAAAAATTAAGCCTTTTCGCGTATTGAGCAAAGATAAAAATATATATGTACATCTCTTTTCACACATATACATAATGTACACATACGTATATACATTAAATACATACATATACATATATATATATATATATATATATATATATATACATGTTGCTCTTAGATTGTAGAAGTGTATAACATACATGCTTATGTATATATGTTATTGTATATATATATATATGTATATATATATATATATATACACGTCCATGACGTGAAAGTTTTATTAATATTAA